AGTAAAATTAAAAAATATATTTTACATCGGATGATAAGTTTTTTAATAAAAGTAAATTGCTCCATACAAGTCAATTCAGTTTTACAACTCCCCAGAATCGGTAATTCATTTATTCATGAGGGAATGTATACGCCATTACAACAAAGTCCCAGAAAATATACAAGGTCTCTCTATTACCAAGTTTAAATATTTAATTAATAATAATTTAATTATTTTATTTTATTTCATACCAAAGCCTTTTAATGTAATAGATTGGCTAGTGCAACGTAGATCTGATTGTAAATTAACAATTAAAAATAAACTTGGGAATTATTTTTTGAATAAAATGGTAGACGCCTTACAACTTAGAAAACTGACATATAATCGTTTGTAATATTTATTTGAAAAATATATACAGGTTATATTTAGAATTTTTACTTGGTTGCAATGTTATGTGGTCTCGGGCTGTTGTATTTGGAATTGATAGAGTGTGGAAATTATAGTGTTTAAATATTTAAAATTTCTGTGTTTGCTATATTATGTGGGTTGTGTACTTATTTAATTGTGTAATAGGGTATAAGAGTACATATTTATTCGCAATAAACTGTCTTTATATTTTGGCGAAGTTATAAAATTATATGTAATGTTTTTGTAAATGTAAAAAAACACCAAAAATAGGGTTTTTATAATATAAATAAAATAAGGGTTATATAATATAAATGAATACATGGTTGAGAATATCCCCCGGGGTATGAGGTAGTTGCTTCCAAGCTGTTTCTAAAATAAATTTTGTAAATATTTTGTGACCATTGACATTGTAAAATTTATTTAAAAAAAAGTCCCGCTGGTTTTCCTGCTGGTTCTTAACAGTGGTTTTTTTTGAACCAGTGGTAAAGTAAAAACTTGACTTTCAATAAGAATTACTGGTATATTATATTATATTGAATAAAAAAATACTATTCTATTCTATTCTCGACGGTCACCCCCATCTCATCTTGCCACTTCCATGAAGACGGCAGGTGACCTGATGGACTTGAGCGGTCCTCTGGCAAGAACGTGTTGATAACCCTTCCCAGCAGATCCGGATCAAGAGTCTCTGTCCGGGGGGGGGGGGGGCAACCAGGGACGGAGTTTAACAAGCATCATTCTGTATGGGTGCTCCCAGGGATCTTCGTTGATTCCCTTCAAGAGCTGATTCCAGGACCGAGACCTGGCATTGGAAATGGCGAGTTGCAACGCCTTTGCAGCCGCGCGGTCTGTCCTGTAGAGTCTGGCTATCTTCTCAGGCGGAGCTCGCCGGTGCCGGCTCCGCAGACAAATCGCACGGAGCCGTGCGCATCCTGCTGACGACCGTTATTCCACCCTATGCTTAGGGCGGCGGGTTCTAGGCATCGACAAGTCACATATTTGCGTAATCGTAACTCGAAACCAGTTTGTTTCCCTTCTGGATCGACCTGAACCTGATGACGACGATGGCGGCGGCTTCAAACTTGTCTCGGTCTTGCCGCTTGAGACTCCAAAGCCTCAAATGATCTCCCTTATTGTCACCGTGACCTCATCCGCCTTCTGGCCGCACTCTGCGCTCACTTTTGTAGGAGACCCTCTATCCCGAGATCCGCCAGCCGGATCTCCGACTTGGCTAAATTCATCATTTCGGCATACGTGGTGTTAGATTCCTCAGTTACCGTAACCGTTACTGCCGCGGACAACGGTGCACGGAGTAATCTCTTTTTCTTGTCCTTGTTTGATAGCGAGGCCTGAGATTTTTCGACTCAAGACTGTTTTTCGCGTCCTTTCAGCTTTTTCAACCTTTTAGTCACCTCTGCCCACATAGTCTCCTTAGGCATTGGTGCTATTGTCATCTCCGATGCTGTCATTGGCGGCAACTCACAAACACGCTAGCAGGAGGTCCCTTTCTTTCGCTTCCTTCTCTTCTTCTTTTTCTTCGACTGCGGCTGCGGTGGCTGCGGTTGATATATAACTCTACCGGCGGTACTTGCAACGATGATGACAACTGCTATAGAATTAGTGGCGTGTTTGAGCTAATACCTGGCTTTTTGCCTAAAAGAGGACGTTGTTTTTCATATGGAAAGAGTTTAGTTTCGAAGGTACCCAGTTCCCTCTCAATAAGAGCCCCTATCCACTTCATTAACTCATCATTACCCCTACCATGTTTTGAAGAAACAGGAACACTCCGAGCAGGTGAAATGATCTTGCTCGTATTCGCCGGAGCTGGAACTCGCCCTTGTTTATGGAGGAGTTTCAGATCCTCTGTAATTTTTGCAGCCGCATTTCGAGATTGGAAATTTGAGAACGCAGGTGTACGCTTTCTCTTTGCAGTCTCGCGATGTGTTCTTCGGTGTTGGTCCTTCTTAGGATTTCTTCGGCCTCAGCTTTTCTATGGCACACAGCTAGCCTTAAGCCGCGAGCGCATTCCCCTATTATGTGCCGGGACAATCCGCTACCATTTTTACGACCTGGAGATGCTGGTCTAGATGATCCCTAAGCTAGCAAGACTAATGACTGACATTTATCCATCAGCTGTGCAGCTCCTCACGGTGTGCCACGTTTCCGGGTGAGGGAACACTGAGCCCGCTCATTTTCCTCTTTTTTTTTAAATAGTTTATGTACCCTAACCCCTCCCCTCCCCTAAGCGCCAACAACTGAGCGTCCCTAGGTGTTAACCCACAAGCACGCAAGATCTTTAGGTTTGGGTTGATTTTTTAAAGAGGTTTTCTTACTCGTGGCGTAATAGAGCTTCAGGTCCCAACTGGAATTACGGGACTGTATGGCGCTAGCAAAAACCGGGTGCGCTTGGCACTTCACCTCACGTATCACGTCCGCTGTTCTTTTCAATTGAGAAGATAAGGAGTAGCAACCTCAAGCCTCAAAGCCTGCTTCTCGGAGCAATGTGCTCGTGACTATTTTTCACTTCAACTAAATACTGAGGGTACCTCAAAACCCAGCCAGTTTTGGTCCGCGACGGTTTCCCGCTGCCACTCATATTTGAGTGGAATCCTCCTATTCGCCACCCGGGGACGCGCCCGATGGGGGGACTGGCAACTCCTCACGGGAAAGTAAAGAGCTAACACCTTTTTAAAAATGCCTATAATGCATTAACACTGGCTGTAACTTCCGACGTTTCAATAAATTGTGGCAGTTACGAGAGTTACGGAAAACGTGCGGTAACATCTGTAAAAGTAGTTTTATTCAACAGATACATTATAGTGCCAAATGAACATCCGTGGTCACTGCCTCGCCCCCTGGGTGACAGGCATAAGAGTTTGTTTGTATGTTAACACGCGCACTGTGCATAGCTATATTTTCTTTTTGATGATTGACAAATTAAGAACAATAATATTGTAAAACAATAATATAAATATAATTTTACTAATTACTATAGTTTTAGTCTTTAATAGATGTTGGAATTATTATTATTTAAATTTAACTTCTTATTACAAATCATATGAGCTTATATATGTTACGGTACGTACTGTTGGCCCTAGGCTTGCTCTAATTTTTGAGAGAGACCGTCAGAAGTTCACGTTCGGATTAGAAGATGCGGATTGACAAACTACATTTCTTCGAAATAATTTTTAATTTCTCAGAGGTGTAGGTTCAAGATGGATTATTTAACCGCTAAGCATTTGCTAAATCTTGCTCAATTGCGATTAACTATTTCAAAGATGTTAGCAGATGATCTAATTCGAGTTGCTTATGTTCTGTGCAAGGTATTAGATGTTTGTTAGTTTTGCCTGCAAACATTTTTTTGCTTCTTTTTATATATTTATATGCATATTTCAACAGAGAATATCGATCAGTAATATAAGCATGTTGAGCGATCTTCAAAGTGAGTTTCACCAAATCGCTTTATCGCTTGAATAACTGCAATCCAATTTTCGTTTTAGCTGACTACCAAAAACTCCTTCTTTTTTCTTCGTTCTCAGTACACTCAAAGTTCTCAGTTCTCTTTATATTTAATTATGAGTGTTACACGATATCTTTATCAATTGCGAACTGATTTTGGTGAATCTTTTTTTATTTAATAGTTTATGTTTAAGTGCGCTCCCGTATTCTATGTCCCACATTGAGTAATATTGTTGAAATAATTCCATCACATGGTACGAAGTTTTTAATGGAATGATATTTGGACAATATTTGGATGATATTGTAATTGTGATATTCCTTAATATACTTAAAAGAAAAAAAAATACTAAAAATTAAAAAACAACTTCAAAGAACAAACAAAAAGGAATAAATTATTATCGCATTATGAAATAGGGGCTTTAGATAACCTTTTTCCGTACAATATATCTCGGCACCGACCTCAGAAACTGAAATTATTTTAGTGCTTTGAATTTGACTTTTACTTTAAATTGAAAGTAATTTTTCCATTTACAGGTGTATTATTAATATCTGAAAGAAAATTATCAATCAATGATTTTTATTTTTATTTTCTTAAACAAGTTTAGGAAACTGTGTGTTGTCTATAGCTTGAAGTTGACTTGAAGATGATTTGTTTGGTAAAACAATGTCATTCATAATACGACTAAGTTAGAGGGAAGTTGTGTTAATAAATCAGGAGACCGACGATGACCACTTCATATTAAAATTTCATACGTGTGCTACAAAAAATAATATTGAAAAATCTTAAAGCATGTTTATTTTTTTTAACCTTAACTGATCGGATTGTGTACATACATTATGATTATAAATATTTCTGACATATCGCGTCAAACAGTATAAGTAAAAGGTAAAACGTACCATGAGATTTTATACGCTTTGAGTATAATATAATTAGATATAATCACTACGTTTTCTCGCGTCTCTTAAAGTGACGTTAATTAATCAACGTGAGTTTATTTATACGAAATATTATAAATCCGTAGTTCGTAATAACGTTATTGTTGTCATTTTTGCATTCAGTTTATGTGTAATTTAATAGTGTAATCGTTTTAGAGAACAAATGAATGGGAACTTTATTTTTGAAATAGGCTTAATATGTCGCTGTTTCATTACAGAATAACATGGAAGAAGGGTGGATAGACTCTCCTCAGGTGATAATCCCAATGATGCCGTGGCAGGGCCGGAACGAGCATTGTTGCGACTTGAATCTACATCCGCCTGAGTCGGAACTTCGAAGCAGTCCTGACCGATCATCCCCACCGCTGTATGAAGTTGAACTGACGGCTTCCGATGAAGATGACGACAATTCAGTTCTCGAATTAGTTATACCAGTGCAGAATTCGCGTTACAAACGAGTGCCCACATCGTCACCAACAAAAGTTACTTTTGTACCTCCGAAGCTATTTTGCAAGTTGTTTTGTTGTTTTTGTAATTAGAATTTCATAGAATCAATAATAATTTTCTATAAATATTTTAGTTAGATCATTGTGAAATTTATATTGTTATTTAATAATGTTTTAAGCGATTCTTCGGAACTGCATTGTATCGCCATTTCCGATCTAAGCATTTTCTTCTCACTTTGAGGCATTCGATTTTAGTACTCGAAGGTGATCACTCGATTGTAGCTTTCTTTGTTCGAGGTTGGCTGCAGGTTTCCATGGGCTGCAGTGGCCAGTTATCATCGGGTGAACCGTAAGTCCATTTATCACTTCCATTTTATTATAAAAAAGCGGTCAAAGTGCGACCAGGAAAGGTCCACACGACTTGATCCCAGTGGAAAGAATAAAAAATATCATATGTTTTAATATTTTATACACTTTTTAATTCGGCACAAAAAACGACTTGACCGATTTTGCTCAAAATTTATTGAGGTCTAAGTTACATAATTATGCGTTAAATGAAACTGGTCCCATGTCAATAGCACTCTTTGTTCTCGAGATACACGAGGCGAAAATTGAATCCGAATATACATATATACATACATACGTTCATGTGCACATACGGACATCCTCTTAAAAACATACTATTCTACTCTAAAAGAACTTGAAACGTGGAGATATGTTAAAATTTCCAATTTGCAAAATCGATCCCATTACAATAACTCGCCACTGGGAAGTTAAAATATCTCTCTTTGAAGCTAGCCTTGGGGTTGCTAAGTTGCTGAATATCTCACAAAGGTGAAGGAAACCATCGTGAGAAACCTACATGTTGAAGAAATTAAAAAAAATATTTTGACTACAAGCGCTGTGCGCTAATACCCATTGGAGCAGCCCGATGGACACAAAAAATTTAGTTTACAAAAACCCTTTTTAATAAGTACCAAGCAGTGGGACTTCGTTGATTTAATATCTATTTTATTTGGCATGTGAATTTTATTTTCATAAGTCCTTCTTAAGTTGTACCTATTTAATGTTATTTAACTTCTTTGGGAAATCTTGTAACATTCTTTCTAAGTATTCTTTTGTATACATTCTAGATTAGATAGAATTTATAAGGTAATAACTCATAATCTATGACGTCATTATGTGATGTGATACTAAGTGTAATAGTAAAAAATAATACACGTAGGGTACTAAGGTAAGCGAGGGTAATAATATGGTCACAGCCTAACTAAACAAACTACAACAACAACAATATACTATAACTAAAATATTAAGAAAAAAATAGCAAACAAGCTTTGGCAATAATTAGGAACACTTCGAAAATCGACTTTAAAAAAACTAACTACACTACACAATACTAAAATCGACTAAAATATTTACATATAGTGCGACCAACTTATATGTTCAGGTGGATAATTTGGAACTAAGCCACCTTTGTAAAGCATTCACTCCTAGTATCTGTATAGGTGAGTGCTTTGTTTGATTTAGTTGTGAAAAGTGCAAATAAATATATACATGTACTCACACATTTCCTCGGTAAAATTCGTAAGTGACAATAATAAGCTCTCCACTAGCGACTCTGTCAACAGAACCACAGAATAAATAAGTACTACGTAACTGAACAGTAAAGTTGGTGGTACTATAATGTCAACTGTCAAAGTGGCGTACAGGCAGCGCTCTTTTGACCCTTTATTACTTTATTTACTGATAAATGTCTATCGTATCACATACCCATTTATGCAAAAAAGTCTGTAATTTTTGAGTTATAAGAGTGGCCATATTAACCGGATGACTATATTACCCTCACGTACATACGTCTATGATATGATTGTGTTTGTATGTCAGCATTATACTTCCCCGGCCCCTTTTAAAAGCTGTTATTTAACGTTTGTATATTTTCGGTTGTATATGTTCGGTCGGATTGTTCGGGTCAAATCTTGGAACTGAACTTTAAAGCACTCCTCAACCGACTTTAATTATGCATACATGTTCAGTTTTGATAACAATGCATGGTTTGCTAAGTGCCGTCATTCTAAATACAATATGGCGCACCGCCCAAGATGTCGAACTTTAGTTATTATTATTTACAAATGTTTCTTATGCAATGTAAATTTAGTGTCGCATTTTTTCACATTACATTAATTTAATGTAAGATTTTACCATTTCAATATTTTTTACTATCTAATTAAACGTACTTTCGTAGTAGCAGAATGTTTTTCCCGTTTTTGTACTTTTAATTATTAACTTATAATATTTCAATAAGTCAGTAAGTAACATTATTAAATACATTTATTATGACATAATTAAATCAATTTTTATTATAACATGGTTTGTTAAAATAGAAACGTTAATACGTTGTTGGAATATCCTTTTAGGTAAGTATACTTGTGCCAGGATTTCCCGCTCTTCCGTAGAAAATTTATTTAAAAAAATCTAACTTTTTAAATAATATATTTATTAATTTTGTTGATAAATCCTTCTTATTAAAATGAAAGACATGCTAGGATCATTCTATTTTTGTGCGAAACAACGACTATATATATTTAAGTAATACAACTTGTATCTAAATGTATAGCCTAAGGAGGCGTCTCGTATCTCTTGAGTGCATTCAAATAATATATCATGCAGAATATATAATTATAAAATATGTTTTAAGTTTTTTGGTGATATAGTTCTATTGTATTTTATATTATGATTTAATATTGTTTATGATTAATATTTTTTTATCTTTTTAAGAGTAAAAATAAAATAAATCTATTCAAAATGAATAATTAGATAAGAATAGGTACATGATTGTGTCAATTGGGTATCTTGTGCAAATTAACAACTTTAAATGTATATTTAGTATTTATTTTGTAAATCAAACACGGTCTTATTCATAAAAAATATATAGGTGTATAGAATACCAAACAGTAATAAGGAGTATGCCGGGTAATCGCTTCGGATTCCGCGAAACAGTCTCGCAATAGCAACTCTCATCTCGTACTTTAACTAAAATATTCCCTCGAGAGAATCCCTCCCATTGCGTTCGTCGGAAAAAAGTAAACCTTAATATTTTATTATTACATAAAAACCTCAACGAATAAAAAAGTTAATAATTTAATTGAGAATCTTTATGTCCATTACAGCCAAACGAATACAAGCACATACAAGCCAGCCAAATCCACTGCTGAACACAGGACTCACCCATAGATTGCCTCATAGGGAGGATTTTACCATAGCTTGGCAGGTGGGTTGGCAACCGCAGTTTTTTATTATTTTGAGTTATTGTAGTTTCCCTCTGTCGCCTCTTACCGACATCCACGGGACGATATGGGGTAGTGGATATTCTTACACCGCCACTACACGGTTTTTAATTTTTTATATAATGTACGTGGTAAGGTAAGGTAAGGTATGTAATATCATATAAGGGACGTGAGAGTAATATAGTCACCATAAGCTTTGCCGTCGTATAAAAACAAGCCGTTCCGCCGTATAAAACTAGGAAGAGGACAGAGACAAAAACACAAAGTCTATAACGTAAAGTACTATAACTAATATATTAAGAAAAAATATCAAACAAGCTTTGGCAATAATTAGGAACACTTACGAGATGGCAAAAGTGCATAGATAACAACGGTGCATACTTTGATTAATTATATATATTTTACAAAAAAAATGACTTTATATTCCTCCAGTACAAAACGCCAATTTCATATGTAAGGAGCTATTATTTACTATAATGTCAAATGTGGCGTCGATAAAGCAGCGCCCTTTTGACTCTTTAATAGTAGTTTGACTGATGAAGAACTATCGTATCACAACGCCATTAAGTTATAAGAAATTGACCTTATTTACCGGATGACCACATTACCCTCACGTAGGTACTACATCATGGTTAATTCGATGCAATGTATTGGAATTAAGAACTTAATAATTAAAGTTGTTCACAATCATCATAGCACTTATTAATATTCTTCCATTTTAAAAATAGATTATTTAATAACCGATTGTGAATATTATTAAATTTAAAATTAAATGTGAAAAACAAGCATATATGAAAATTTTAATTCTACCTAAACTTTTGTGTTAAAAATAATTTTATTGAAAATATTTACTTTTGATATAGATCATTTAAAATTAACATCGCAAACTCTATTTTTGACAATATTAAAGGTTTGTTTAGAAATGAGTATGTATGATGGTGAATATGCTTGAATTTGTTTTAGTTTTTAATTGTGAACCTACAAAAACCTTATCTTAAATGGTACTTATATTAAGATTAATTTGTCGCTTGATTTTAATCAATATAAATAAAAAACACTTATCCGAATGTATGAAAGATCATCACTTGAGAACGGCTGGACTGAATTTTGATGAAATTGTCTTCGAACTATATTACTAAGTAGTAATACCCAATGAAAATTGTGTGTGTCGAGTGAGTCCCTAGCTGGGTTAGATTCACAACTAGGCACGGTAGATGGCGCTGTTGTCAAGATCGAGGCGGATCGCTAGTCTCATATATAAAAATCAATTCTTGTCCGTTAGTGTCGCTAAAGTTCGAAAGCGGCTCGAACGATTTTGATGTATTTTTTGTGTGTGTTTGAGTGGGTCCTTGGATAGTTTAAAATTGGACCCGGTAGGTGGCGCTATTGTCGTGACGAATAAATCACCCGTACAAAGCCGGGGCAGATCGCTAGTATTATATAAAGATCAAGAATCGAGCTTTTATAGAAACATTATTAAGTGTAAAGTTCATTTAAATATATTTTAATAATGGTTATAAGTTTATATTTAGGAAGGCTAATGTAAAGTTTATAGTAATTGTAGAAACGGTAATGAAAGAAATGGTATATGAAGAAGTTTGTAATCATCATTGTATTTACAATCTAGAAAGAAGACGACATACTCGCAATGCTGATTTTGCATTCACCTACCTATTCGTTTAAATTAATTATTGCCGTAAACCGCTCCTTGTAAGTGGTAAGAATAAAACGTTTGTAGTAGCAGTACGAGTATTTAACGATAGTATTTTAATGGTAAGCTCGAAAGTGTGACAATTTAAATTCTCAGTT